AACACTCAAAAACTGGCCTCGTTCAACTGGCCTTTCGTACGTACGAGTCCTCTTGACCTGACCCTCGCCGGTCGCGCGTCTAAATTCTCTCTTCTGAATCGGGTAAGTTATAGATAACCTCTTGCGCTGGACCGTGCCACGCACGTCGATCGAATTCCTTTCTCCCAAATTGCAACATTTTCTCAGTTTTCAAGTGTATTTATACGTAACCCAGGCGAAACAACTGACAAGTCTGTTACTTCTTCATAATTTCTATCCAGTGACATCGTACCGACGAGTTCAAAAGGAAAAGAAAGCGACGAATTATATTGTATACGGGTTCGGTCGCTCGTTATGGTCCGCGCGAACCAACTGCCAGCGCAAGAGTTTGAGTTTGAGTTGAGTAAGTACACTCAAACCACTTGAATCGTGGTCGAACGTCGCGAAGGAAACGAAAATTGAAGGAAATATTCGTTGCGGAGAACTTGGAAATTACGTGGAAGACGTTGAGATGTTTGTTCTAATTATAAACATGTTCAGTTGTCGATGCAATGAAATGTCGAAGCATGTATAATGTGAAGTGCACACGAGAAATTTAGGAAAAATTTATTTGATTTTTTCGTAAACTTAAAACGATATTACTTTGAGCTCTTAAGAAACGGGTTGGAGGAAATTTGAAATTGATGTGGTGATTTAAATTAATTCGAAATTAATTCGGAAGAAACTGAAATTTCTCAACATTTTCGTCAAACTTTAACTTCAAGTGACCTGATTAATCAAGACGAAGTTTCTTAAAAGTTTCAAAAGGCAGCGAACAGAACGTCATCTCTTCCTCTTCGTTCTTCGATCCTCCCCTTTTTCTTCCCTTCGTTACAAAGCCACAGGGTGTAGTATTACGCAAGGAGGATATTGGACCATTGTGGAGAAAAATATATGGCTAAATAGAACGGCGGACGCGATGTTTTATGGTTAAACGGCGAGCAGGAATGTCTGGGAATTTATGTCTTATTCGGTGGGCCGAACTCGGTCTACCGTGTTATTGATCCTTGATTAACTCGGACCCTGGAATCCTTTTAATTTGCCGGAACTACGAATGTGCGCGAATAACTCTGGTTTTTCTCGATTGATAAACCGCATGTGCGATTGCTTTTGCCCTCACGAACTTTCTAAGTATGAAATACGCGAGCCAACAATAAGTATTATTGGTTCCTTTAGAAAGCTCGAAAGAACGAATATAAGTTCTTATCTGATTCGTACTCACTCGTGATTCATACTAACCGTCGTAAAAATAAAATGTAAAAATATTAAAAACGACGATAAACTTCTGATATTAAAATTACGAAAATTTTAATAAAGTAAAAATTTTGTAATGAAATTAGTAAAATAAAATTTAGACAGTGTTTCGTAACCAATGCCAAGTTATGATTTTTCAACAAAATCACGTTTTGTTTCGCGAAAATATCAAAAAAGTAGAAAATCACAATAAACAGGAAATCAATTCTTAATCTCTGTATCTCTTAAAAAAAAAAGAATTCTCCCTCTCTGTGACGATATTACAATAAATAAAACTCCTCCAAAAAATAAAACTACCTCCTTTTTAAAAAAAAAGTAATCTTCCTCTCAAACAAAGCATCCAATTTCACCCCAACCCTCTTCTCTAAAAATATCATACTCTTTCTAGCAATATATAATGGCAAGGTTCCACAATAAACAAAACCAATCCTCATTCTCGTTTCAAACATCAAATAAAGCATTCGATCCCCCATGGATCGAATCTACGACTATATTCACCCCAATTTCCCCAAAAACCACCGAGCAAAAACTCCTCATCCATCAATGCAACAAAAAATGCTCTTCCGCCGATCTGCTCGCTCACCGAATTAACGCGACGTCCCCCACGTATCCACCCCCCACACCCCCCACCTGGAGGTATCTAATTATTTCAATCCGATCAGTAGGTAACACTTGATCGAATCCCGTAGCCTCGTTGAAAACTCCCGGTTTCCCTTTCTTCGCCGTAACCTCACCTGGTTCACCTGCGTCGCATTTTTCACGGGGGATTAGTCGCGACGATCGCGTTTCCCCCCTTTTGTCATCGCCACCGGTCCGTGGCGTCTTTGCTCCTTTGCATCGGCTCCAATTCGGCGAGGATTTGTTTCGGCACTTGGGGTGTGGTAAGCCGACATGAGACCAACGCTCCCGGCACCGCTCCTAATAACGAGGAATTATCGCCGCGATACAATGAGCCCACGGGAAATCCTCTTTGATGTCTACCACGGAAAATAATACCACCCTAATAGAGTGAGATTACCGGCTACGTCGTCAACGACGACGACGACGACGACGGAAGAGTAATGCGCGTCGCCACACGCTCCTTTGCAACGACTTGGAATGGTAAGCGTTTATCCCTGATTTGTGTGTTCAATTTCGACCAGGAGAGACGTGGCTGGGAATTGGGTTTCAGAAGTTGCATGCCCTGTGGAGTGACGCAATCTTTGCTCTCGGCAAGGGAATTTTTAAAGCGTGGGATGATAGAAGGGATCGTTGCGTTGGAAAGGAATTTTAAAAATAAATGAGCAAAATTTATTTTGTACTTTTTGTATCAGGGTTAATTAATTAATTTATTTTGATAATCTCGAAAGTAAATTATCTATAATATATATATATATATATAATTCTTTTTGTAAAATGAAAAAAAATAAATATATATTTATTTAGAAATTAAATGTTTGTCATATTTATTAATATCTAGTTTTCTTAAAAAATAAATTTAATTTACATATAATATGAAAAATTTTGGAATAACACGAGAGAGAAATACCTCTTCTTTAAATTTTTAACTTATTCTATTATTTCGTAGGAATATCCACTCACGAATACAAATATTAATAACAAATAAATACGACAAATATAGTTTCAGCGAATTTTAATTCACTTTCCTAACTTTATCGTATTAAATGAATCACTGCGAGGACTCACCCCTAATTTCCAGTCTCGTCTATAAATATCATCACCTCACAGATAATTTTAATATCACATCCTTTCACTAAATTCTAATTCATTCTTCCGACTCTGTCACATCTTAAATAAATCACCGGTGTGGAACCAAGCCCCCAATCTCTCGAATTAAACGTCAACGTCTGCCACAAAGCGAGCCGAGAGTTACCCTCCCCATTGGGCCAGCGATACAAAAATCACCGTTTCAATTACGTTTGAAAAGCCGTGTCGAAGGACCCGTTCGATTGCCACGAACAATGTGTTGCGTGCGCCTGCAACCATGCGCCTCCGCATATCCAGCCAGGCGACATCGGATGTATCAGAAGGCTAATTGTCTTTCGCTGTCAGTTGCACCCCCCGGTTCCGCCTTGTCCGAGGCACACGGCCCTCCGGGCTACGGTGATCGCTGGTCGACTCTTGGGCGCGAGGCACCGCCTCGAATTACACGCTGGAAAGGATAAAATAATTACACGTCGTCCCCTTCTTTTCCTGCGATTCTTTCTTTCTTTCTCTTTTTTTTTTTTTTTTTTTCTCCACCGCCTTTTTCGTTTCTTTCTTTCTCGATCGAGACAGACCGCGCGCGTGAACCTCGTGAGGGAAAGTTTGGGGAGGGGAACGCGTGCTGGGGACGTTCGGAATTTCGCGAGAGAAATGGGCGCTCCAGAGAGAAGGGAATTTGTTTTACACGGGCGTTTGTTTGCGTAGTATGTAGATCGTAGGGCTGATTGCGGCTGTCGTACTGGACTTGGAATGGTCGTGGAGAGTTTGATTGAGATTTGATTTTATTTATTTGTACGGGATGTGTGAAAATTCGTAGTCGAGATGCACAGAACGGAAGAGTAATCGGCAGACGGCGTAAAATCGGCAAGCTGACAGTTGAAACACGAATTACGACTGATTTTAATAATTTATGAACTGATATCAATGATTTGGCAAGTCGTAACATATAGATTTTCCTTCAAGCATAATAATTAGATAATTTGTAGTATACTAATTACTAATTATTATATATAGTTTTATAATTATCAGATATCTATAACTAGGATAATCTTACAATTTATCACTCAATTTCATTAACATTATTTCAATATCCAATGATGAAAGAAGTTCTTCAAAATTGAGCAAAACATGAAAGAATCACTGTCAACACATACACACACACACACATATTATTTCTGATCTTCATACATTATTATAACTTTCTTTCTAGATAACTATAGAAAGTTTCTTTATGAATAACTATAGAAAGTCTTTCGATACGTCGAGACGAGAGGAAAATTGAAACATAAAAATTCGAAAATCGTAAATTATCGTAATTTATTTTACGGGGGCGATAGATAGCGAGTATGGTTTCGTCGAACGACTTAACGGAATATCTATATTTTGCCGATGGAAACGATAACGGACATGGTTAAGGAAATGGAAGGGTATAATTATGGTGAACGCGAAAGTGCCATTTAGATGAAGGATAGTTTTAAACGAGAGATGCACGGTTTTTAACGAGCACACTAGCGCGGCATGATAACGCTAGTTGCCCCTTATGTCGGTTAGCGAAGGAAAGGGTTGACTGTAACGCGTTATTATGCCGGTTTGCATAATTCAATTCTTACCTGCCCGTCAACTTTGATAAATACGTACCTGCGCCGCTATTGATTGTTACCTGTCCCCCTGTTCCGCGTCGCGGAAATTGTCGCCTTTCTCTTGTAAAATAATCGCGGGCGAGTGAAACGTGCAAACGCAAGGGTGCAACGAGTGATACGTAACTGCGTGACAGTGTAATTTTTCGAAAACGTGGATTTAACGTGGAACTGGTGTCCAAAGGGAGAGAATTCAGGTGTCTGTTCAAACCACGAAGTATCAGGTTAGCAGACTGATTATTATTTAGAAATTTGTTATTTATTACGTGAAACGAAAACTGTAGGATTAAACACGATTTTGGGTATCTTTGCTAAAATATCAGTCGATTTATTTTGAAATATAAAAATCATCCCTTTTTATATATTTGTATGATAAGCAATCAGTAATTAAATTATAATTGATAGTCATTTATTTGTTATTCAAAATTGTAGCTCCACATCCGCTCCATATTATTGCGCTACAATTTGCAATTAATCACTATTGTTAACATCATCAAATTCTCTTCTGTCTCCTCTTTATTCTTCCTTAATTAATTTCGCAAATTTATTCAATCAAGTTACTCTTCGTGCGATCAGTTTAAATAAAACAACTCAATAAATTTGAACGGACCGCATCCAACTGATAATTTATTCCATAAATAATCAAACATTACCACAACGTCACTCTATATTCCCCTAATGTTAAATGAAATGAAACAATTTAATAAATTCAAGCACCGCACCCAAGTAATGGATTACGCCAGAAATAATTAAAAAGTTACTACAACATTGTCTTTCCGCCAATATAAGCTTATTTAGATATCTTCTCTAAAAAAAAAAAAAAAAAATTAAAACTTCAAACCATCAAACTTTAAGAATTATCACAAAATTCCTTCCATCTCTATAATCTTACTCTCACTCTTACACCTTATCTTAAGGAAATCAATTCAGCGTGAAAGCAACGAATAATTTAAAATTATCACCTTTTACTCGCGATTTGATTAAAAAGGAAAACATGATGCGTTCAATGAATATAATTTACTCATGGTCGAACGTAATTGCAACAACATGTTTCTCCTATCTCGATCCTCTTCAACTCGTCACTGACGTGTTTCTCTCTACACTCTACGCTGCTCGTCATCGTTTTCCATCCTGTTTCGTGGCGTCTCGCACCTGTGCACAGGTACACTGACGAGCCCGGCAGCGAAGCAGGAAATCGAATCGAGATAAAATACAATTTATCGCGGCGCGTAACTGAGACATAAAGCGGCTCTCGCAGATTCATTGGACAAGTTGTCGGTGCTCTAACGGCGCCCCCATGCTGTTCCCACAAATGGCGTCTCCGCGCCAGCAACATCGCGTTCGCCACTTCCTGTTATAAGCGGATCGCGCACAGGTGGATAGAAAATTCGCCGATCGGTGCTCCACGCTGACGAAATAAACGACTTGTTGCCTCCTGTATGTGCCGGACCTAGCCTGGATAACTGATAATCCGCGAATATGCGACGCACGACGGAAGCCTGACGCCTGGTTTACGCGATGAAAAATTGAAATTTCCGATGTTTTATCTCTGATAAGCTTGAAATATCCTACACGCTCTTCGAGAATGGATTTATACATATAATTAGAATTCACCCATAGAGGTATTTTTTGCTTGTTTTATGAAAGATGAAGCTCGAACTGACCAGATTCTCTCGTCGTCATTTCCTTTTTCCTGTAATAATTGTCTTAAAATCGTTCAATCTTTCGATTGACAGCTTGCAAAGATGTGAATTTCAAATTTCGTATTCAATGAATTTTGTTACCTTCCGCTCAAATTTTAATAGCTTCGAAAGCACCTGGCACAGTGATTTTCAGATTATGCGTAATCGCAAATTTTTGAGCGTTGCAGCTTTCTCTTTCTGGCGAGCAGTTTATATTTATTTGTCATTAATTAAGTTACTTGGTGTATTTCACGCAAATTCTCGTACAAGCTCGAGAGTTTGGAACATTCAACGAGTTTCAGGGAAGGCCTGTACTCAATTAGTATCGAGTTCATTGTGGTATTTGCTTAGGATTTGCTTGTTTTATCGACCATCGTTTGTAGCTACGACGGTGTGAGCGTGAAACTCGAAGGAAATCGAAACCGAGAGATCCTTCTGTCGTCAGTTTCCTGAAATAATATATATATATATATTTTTATTATTAAACAGGGATCGCGTTAAATCTATATATGGCGTATTTTGTGCAATTACTTTTGGGAAAAATTCCATGTTCTCCTTTTGCCAAACGTCCGGCTCCGACTTTAAAAAATCGTTTTGTAAGCTATTCGTCGACGGTTCGATGCTCGATTCTCTTTCGCTGGGAAAGACGATGTCGTTGCTACTTCTTACTGTATCAAATCTTGGATATTCTCTCTTCTCGTGATATTCTCGATACTTTGTAGGTGGAAACTGAATTGTATTCCGCGCTGGACTGTTTCGAACGTGTCCCTTCCAATTTCCAGCGACTATCCTCTCCCTCACCTCGATCCTCGAATAATCGTTGACTGAACAAAGCCAGAAATTTACAAAATTTATTCAATCCTCCTCGTTATTATCGGGCATAAAAAAAGAAAAATATATAATTTGTACGATACGACAAAATCACAAAAAAATCCCAATTCCTCTGATTATCTCACCTCGTTGGCCAGGAATCCTGTCAGACGTCCTATATTTCCCTCCCCGAATCCTGTTGAAGAGGTTGAAGAACCCTCCGTTGTAATTATTCAGATAATAAACCAAGCCGTACGCGTCCCTCGGACACTTTGGGAACGCCTCGTAGCACGCCACGGAATTTCCTCGGTTGCCATAACCGAGTATCATCGCTCTGCCGAAGTTCAGCAACGGGGACGTTCCGGCGACGTCGATTTTCGTCAGCCAGCTGAAAAAGAAAGGAGAAAAATCCATCGTGAGTTTCTTTCTTTCTCTCTTTCTCTCTCTCTCTCGATGTTCCATTTGAGAAACTGTGTTCTTGTCGACTTGATTCTGCGGCCACGTACTCCGTGAAAACGTTCCGACCGAGGAACTCGAAGAAGCCGGATCCCTGTTTGCCTAACGATCGTCCAGGAAGTTTTCCGCTCGCCATCTCGCAGAGTATCCTCGGGACACACTTGTAGTCGTCGTGGCTGGATATCGTGGACAGGGCGTCGAGGAGATTCAGCTGGAATCCGGGGGGAGGGCCGACCGTTCCGCTCGGATAATTCGATTGCTGGTAGTCGGAAGTCGAGTACGCCGGAAGGGAGCTGCCCTGATGCGGCTGTAAGCAGAAAAGTTGCGGAATTTTCCTGCGTGGACGCGGGGGAAACGTGGACGTCTGGGATCATTGATTGCTTCCTTTCCTCTCGTGTCAAATATATATCGAGGAGAATGGGACTTTACGCAACGGTATTTAAGTGCTATAGAACTAGCTGAGTGTAATATCCTTTTGACATATTATGGAAACGTTATTTGGAAGATTATTATCAGTATGGGAATAATTAATATAAGAATATCGCTTGGATTAAATTACAATGTTTATGGATGGACAGTTAGCGGTAGTAATTTTTTTCATTAATTTCTTAAATATGACATTTTTGTGATATTAATATATTATAATAGTATAATATATATAATATAATATGCTATACATATATAATAGTATATTAATATTAATATTATTATTAATATTATTTATTATATATATAATATTCTTATATATATATAATAGTATAATATTATTTTATGAAAATATTATTTAGGAGAAGAGAGAGAGAGAAAGACAGATCAATACCAGTAAAATTCCTTTTATATAAATTTTTTGGGAGATAAATAATTTGTATGATTGAAATTTAACAAGAGTCTATAAATAGTCATGTCCATGATAAATTTCGTTCATAAATAAGTGGATTAAAGTTTATTTGATCGAGGGACTGATTGAAATTAAAATAACAAATGAATATTACCGAATAAATGTAAACGGAATTCTACTGATTCTTTCATCACGATAATACTTTTATGAGATCTCAAAATTATTAGCATCTTAAAAAATTTCTTTCATTCTTTGCTCTATTTTATTTCTCGAGAAAAACATTAATTGTCAAATTCTGAAAAGCCCTTCATAACGAAAGGCTTTCGTTTTTTAAGAACGAACGTTGTGGTTCTCTCTCAGGGTGGTAAAATTTGGAAAAACAAACAAATAAAAAGTCGAATTTCGTTCCTCTTTGTCTTGAAACGCTTATTATTATTGTTATTAAAGAACATCTATAGTTGAAATTCATTTACCGCGTTTTCAATGATACTTGTAGCAAAAAGATCTCGATCAAATGTAAGTATTGGAAAGTGTTCGGAAACACTTGAAATCTTTTAAATATGAAATACGAAGTTGTTTGAAATGTATGAAAAATTAGAATTGGAATTACTCTAATTAGAGTCTCACGCGCGAAAGATCTCGATGTTTTTAAATACGTTCAAGTGCCATGACTGCGTTTGATTGAAAACATTTTACGAGGTACATAGTTGTATCACACATATTGCTTTCGTAATAATCGTTAATACGTTCAGCTCTTTACGAGGAGTTTTTCGTACGGCAACGTGCGCTAGAATATTAAATTTCACGAGGTAGTTCGTTATTAATTTAGGAAAGTTCCGATCAATAAACCATCGTATAATGGCATTCACGATGTTTTGCACGCAATTTTGTAACGAAATGATCCGTGAATTATAAAGAACTCAATAACAACGATCCCCTTTTCCCTCCAATACAAATGTTTCTATAAAAATGTTTCTAAAAAAATTTCAATAACGCCGTTCCGAGTCTGAATAAAGGTCTGACGAGCGAATAAATTTCAATATCAAACGTACCGTGACAGCATTGTTAAAAATACTCGAGAGAACGTCCACGAAAGAGATTTGCCTGCCCGTGGATCCGTCCGATTGACCTTTCCCGCCTGTCAGCCCGTCGCTTTCTCGATCAACGAGATCGACAACCAATTCATCGATGCACCTACGGCGACGAACAACGTTTTCCACTTGAATCGCTCCATCCACTGTTCTCTCTGCGTTATTAATACGCACGAATGGTACTTACCTTAATAAGTCCGTGGCGTTGTAATTGCTTCGTGTTTCGTCAAAATCGCAAGAGTCGTCGCGCTGGACCTCGCGACGAATCCTCTGAAATTGCTCCTCCGCGCGAACGCGGATAAGTAGAGCGCAAATGAAAATAAATTCGAACGTCATTCCACGATTTTTCATTTCCTTTCGATCCATTTCAGATAAATCAAATTTCAAAGACACTTCTTCGACGTTTCTCGAAGAATATCACCATCGCCCGTTTTTGTTATATATGCTTCTCCTTCTTCAATTTTCAACGTCAAAACCGAATCGCGGAATAGAGTTTCGCACGCGAGAGGCTGAAACGGTCGACGACGATAGTTCCCGTTGAAACGGCACTTTGTCGCGATCGCCTGGCAAGTGTTTCGCCTCGCGGATGATCGTGTCACAGTTCCACGGCAACTGGAACTTTCTTCGAAAGCGTTCCTCGTACACAAGCTCGGCCGAATGAGGCGTAGGTAGGAAGGAACGTCATCGTTCTGCTACTCTCACTTCGTGTGACCGTTTTTCGTTGCCCGTACGCGCTCGTGGTTCAAGAAAACAAAATAACAATAAGCGTGCTCGTTTTCTCAGTAGATTTTATTTTCAACAATCAACACAATGAATTAATCATTCGAGTGACATTTGTTCGTTGCTCTGGTACTCGAGTGACATTTTTTCATCTTTCTAATGTTCTTTTGGAAATTAAATTTGAAAATCGTCATCCCGTATTGTGCGTGAATGCTCAACGCTGGAGATACCGATACAGCAGTAAGAAATTTATAGTAAATAAATCATAGTAACAGGCGCACGTTGGCAAGGCAATAAAATTTTTTATGCCTCCAGCGTTGAGATTCTCGTATAATTTATTCTCGTGTAATTTTTTCGTTTAGGTACGTGCATTGGAAATCTATTGAAATGAAAGAAACGATTATCTGCAACATAAGTTTCAAATTGATTAGAAAATTGACCAAAAATTCGGATTTACATCATACAGCAAAGTTCACTGTAAGTGATTATTCCCTCGTTCAAAAACATCTTCACAAAGAAAGTAATCCAAAGAAAGAAAAAAAGTAAACGTTAATATTTTCCAATTTCGTCAACTCTATTTATTACATTTCGCCGACAATGAAGTAGGATAACTGATCGCTAAACTCTCTGTGTTGAAAGAAACTTGAGGTAACAAAGCGGTTAAATTCACGTATGCACGTATCCAAAAGTCATCTGTTCGACCTCGTCCTCGCGTTTTATGGAACCCAGGACTGCCGTCTAGCGAGGATGAACGATCCTCTCGTGGATGGAAACCGGCGAACACGTTCTCGACGATATTTACAATCTGTACAGGGACTCGTAAACGGTTACGGTTTACAGTTAATCCGAGAGCGTAGCCTCGTCGCAGCCTCTCCCTCGTTTCGCCAGCTGATGACAGAGTCGCGGGCTTCCTATGATGTCGCCCAGGAACACGCTCAATAAATAATTCTCCTTCATCGGGTTCGGCGATGATTTGTACTCGCTGTAAAATCACCAATCCACGGGAACGTTATGTACCATCTAATGAACTCGATTGTGAAAGCGTTACGAGCCCGAGTATAGTAGCGTGGAAGTGTAAATCGCTGCCGGTGTGTAGTATCACGTGTGTAGAGTAACTGGATCGTGTCTTTTCTTTTTCTTTTTTTTTTTTTTCTTTTTTATCTGGTACGGTAAGAAGAATAGCGTCGGATCGTTGCTTGGTCGACTCGCTCGTCGAGAGATTACAGAGAGATTTATAGGCGCGCGGTGAATACTGAAACCGTCGTTACTCGGTCTTGGTACGATTTCTGCGACCTAATTCAGACGTCTTTATTTTGTTTCAAATTTGATATCTTCGATTTATGGGGATTTTCCGAGAATTATCCTAGATGTTCTACGTTGGAGATTTTTGAGAATTTTTTGTCCCATTTTCTCAGTTTATACCAAATAATAAGTTTATTACTTCTTAATAATTTCTATCATACCGGCGAGTTCAAAAGAAAAAGAAAGCGACGAATTATTATATACAGTTCGGTCACTCGTTATGGTCCGCGAACCGGTTGCCAGCGCAACGGTGTTAAAACTGAAGCTTTAATACCAACTTTTAATGATTAAAATATATCCATCTAGACGATCAACCTTTAAAGTAAAATAATAATCCTGAAGCAAGTATCATACCTTTGATAATAATTTCTCTATTAAAAAATCTCTTAAATCAAATATTCTTCTCCTACGCAAACCAAAATTCAGCTCCAAAACAAAACGAAGAATAATTCAAACGCGAAATCGTGTTAAAAAAAATCTCTAAACCAACAACTTGACTGTCTCGCCCTTCTCAACATTCTCCTCTAAATTAATTTTAACAAAATTTACCCCAAAACAAACCAAAAACAATCCAAATGTATCTCAAAACACACAGATCCAACCACCAAAAAAAAAAAAAAAAAAAAAAAAAAAAAAA